GACGCTGTCACCACAACAGCCTTTGTCGCCGCGCGACAGGCTTAGGCGAAAGCCTGGTGTGCGGCATTGTAGGCAATTTTTCCACACATTTTCTATTTTTGATATAATTTAAACGTAAAAATCCATACGAGGGGTAAAATCGTAATTTCATTTAAAACACTTCTTTTATTCCAAATAACTCATAAAACTCAATTATCAATGCTAATCACATTAGGATTCAAAAGAAACTTCTAGAAGATTCTAGAAGACTATAATCAATCCTAATTGCATTAGGAGTGATAATTCATAATCGACCCTCCTCTAGATCATTGGGCCTCATATCAAAATCAAACCGGGCCCAGTTTAGTAATTTGGCCATAACTTTCTCATTATTCATCGGAATTGAGCTTATAATATATCGTTGGAAAAATCTCTTCGACCCCAATCCAATTACACTATTATTGGACCCATATTATGGACCAAACGTAACCTGATTGGGTATTTTCATAAAACAAAATAGGTTTTTGAAAACAGCTAGAGATAAGAGAATTTTAATAAAAACTAACCGCAACACTATACTTTCCACACTTCCACTTCATTCGATTATAATTCGACGTGAAAGGTATTCAACACTGAGTTTGGTTTTGGGGAGACACAAATGGGTGTCTACAATGCCATAATGTTATGTACTACTTATTACAACAATAATTTTTTTTTATTTTCATTTAATTATTAATTATATGTTAAAAAGCTCTAAGAAAGTAATTTGAATTTCAAATATTAAAAAATAGATAAAATAAAAGATTTGATGTATCCTTCTACAATAAATATTAACAACTATAAATTTAAGAGAAAAAAAATCAGGGTTTTAACATAATTTGTGACATACATAGTGACCATATAGAGCGTAATGTACGACATTTTAAGAAATCCATTTGGTTAACAATAAGAAAATTAAACTAATTTTTGATAAAATTAAATATATAGTAATATACTGTCAAATGCGTTTTAAAAATTGGTCTGGCTAATAGGCTCTTTTATAATAAATTCATTACTCCGTATAATATTTTAGAAAAATTCATAGTTAATTTAAAAAATAGTTATTAAAAATTACCGTGCATGGCACGGGACCTAACCCAGTTCTTTTATACTTTATTACTTTATATTATTTCTATTAAAATTCTGCACTTGAAGAAATGGAGCAAATAATAAAATATGGAGGGAGTAGTTATAAATATTGATATTAAAAAGCTAATATTGTGAAACTATATATTATACATGTTCTGATTTAATTTACTAAATTGAACTGCTTATGAGAGAACAAAATTAGGAACTAAATTGAACAGTACAATTAGAAGTTTAAGAAAAGAGGTCCTTAATACCTATTTAACAATATTTCATGATAAACTAGCTAGCGTATGTCCCGGGAGATGCCCCATGTTGCTAGTTTGTGTTTTTCTTTAATTTTATTTTTGGGCCCGGGCGATGCCCCGAATTATTACATAGAATTGAATATTAATATACGTTGTAATGTATGATTTAATTTTCTTGTAATTAAATATGTGGTTCATATTGTCATTTGCTAGATATTAATATTTTTTATTCAAAAGATTGCATAAATATTCACATAGCTTGGTGGTAAAATACTTAATTTTAGAATTAGAGGTTGTGGGTTCAATTCTTATGGAGAACTTTTTTTAAATTATGAAGAGTGCATGACATGGAATGAAAAACAAATGGAAGGAGAATCACGTGGCATATAAATAGTTGAGTAGATGACGTGGCGTAGTGAGGAGGGTTTACGTGACACGCGGACATTCTTAGGAACGCCTTTTAATAGATTAGTATAGATTATATATGTTCGAATGTGTTTTATAGTTAGTGAATGGTTCGGGCTTTCAGGTTTAACTTTTTGTTTATGTCATATCACTACTAGAAAACAGCCTATTTCTGACGGATGGGTTTCGACGGACACATAATTCCGTCGGAAAATTCAAAATTTCCGTCGAATTCAACAATTTCGTCGGAAATTTTCGACGGAATATAAATCCGTCGAAATATAATTTTTTAAAAAATCATTAAAGAAACCAAAACCCTAATTTAAACGTGTTCCCCATTCTCTTTCCCCCTCTCCTTTTCTCCTCCTTCTCTTTCTCTCTCCTCTTCTCCTTCTTTTTCTCTTTCCTTCCTCTTCTCCCTGACGTCCCTGTTGCGCCTCTTATCTTCTTCTCTCCCCTTCCTCTTCTTCGCTATCCTTCCTCTTCTCCCTGTTATCTGCTTTCTCTATCTCCTCTTCAAGGCGTCGGTTAGTAGTGTTCAAGGCGTCGGTTAGTGGTGTTCACTACTAAAATTCGGTCAAATTGCGACCGTTTTTCTACGACCGTCATTAAAGCGGTAGCAAAATATGAAATTTGCGACCGATTTTTATGCGAAGGAGAAAAATAGATGAGAAAAAAGCTAATGTTCACTTTCTGAAAAGCTAATGTTCATACTGTTGTTACACCTATTTGCTAGGTGCATGAGTGTGCACCTAAGAATATGCGTCGTCATGGCACATCTAGGAGTGTTTGCGGTGCGATTTGGATCATAAACCTCACCAAACCGCAAAAGTGCGATTTGTAATTTTTTCAAACCGCAACAAACTGCACTTTTAAAAAAACCGCATTGCAAGATGTGGTTTAATGCGGTGCGGTTTGCGGTTTAACCGTATTTTATTAAAATTGTAATTATTCTTTTTAAAACAAAACTTTTTATTTTATATTATAATTATTAATTGATAATTTAATTATTAAATTCTTTTTATTAACCTTTAATTAACTAATAGTAAAAAATTAGCTCATATATCTTAGTTCTTTTATATAATTTTAATGAAACTATAGTATAAAAATCGCAAACCGCATTAAAGTGCGGTTTGCGGTGCGGTTTGGTCTCAATAATTTTGGAAACCGCACCTAACCGCAAATCGCGATTTTGTCATTTAAAAAAAAACCGCACCATAATTTTCAAACCGCAAACCGCACCAAACCGCAAATTTGCGGTTTTGTGCGGTCCAAACCGCACTCTGTACAGCCCTAGGCACAACACGACATGAAGCTCGTGGGCCGGGCCTAACTAACCCCAAAGCATGTGGGTCTGACACGAGGCATGACCCGACACGGTCCAGAACCATCTTTACCTATACATGGCCAAAAAAATATTATCATATATAAAGGGTATATATCCAACATCTATATATGTCCAAGTATATTCACACCTGGTCCACCACTCGAGTGAATATCCACTACTCACCTATACGGTTGTTGATTAAATGCTTATTACCTACCTATTATCTTCCTATACCCACCTAGAAGAATTATTATTTCTATAAACTTGTAAGAAAACTGTAATATAAGGTGGGGATTAATCCGATAGGAGAAATAGGTGGGTATGAAGTCAGTGAAAGGATATAAGGTGGTTAGGTGGATACATATGATTTTAAATCAATTACCTACCCAGTAACTACAACGGATATGGCTTTTAATATCTATACTCGTCCATTGTATACTTTTGAATTGTAACATACAAATTCGATATTGCTAACTTTTGTTATGTAATGTCATATGACAGGTTTGGAGAATATAGATTCACCATGTTGCCATAACTCTTAAATTGGGGGTTTAGAGGGTTTAATTCCATGTAGTCCACTATCTAGTGTTTGCAGTGACAGATCAAAATATGCATATTGGGACCCTGTTCATCCAACTGAAGCTACTAATACAATGGTTGCCAAACGTCTCATTGATGAGAATATTACTGATATTTCACCTATTAATGTACGATAAATACCATGCTTACCGTCTTGATTATAGAAAACGAATTTGTGAAACGGAGGGAGTTTTTAAAAAATATCGTGTCACTTACAAATGTAACAATTACAATGTCAAATAAGTTCTCTTATGTGAAAGTAGTCTACTTAAGAGTCTAATGATCTTCTTTGATATGACAAATTGAAGATCTCTTACTCGAGACAAGTTAAAAAAATGTTAAGCTCAGATGCACATTAAGCTTCTTCTCTGGTAGATCAGAAGATGGTGGCGGACCCTTAAGTGCCGCAGAATGCGCAGAATTCTTCACAGCTTTAATTTGCACCAGCCGGGAATCGAACCCGGGTCTGTACCGTGGCAGGGTACTATTCTACCACTAGACCACTGGTGCTTTTTGTTAACATTGTTACTCAATATATTTTAGAATAATATTTAATATTTTCAAACCATTAAAGAATCTTAACTTTAATGTAATTGTATTTGTATGCGAAATAATGAAATATGTATTGTTCCCTCTGTTAGGGCCTGTTCATATTTACTGAATTGAGGTGAACTGAACTGATTGGAGCTGAACTAAACTGAACTGATTGGAGCTGAACTGACTGAACTGAACTGAATTGAACTGAACTAAGCTGAAATGAATATTTTATGAGAGAGGGAAATTAAGAGCTGAACTGAACTTAACTGAACTGATTGGAGCTGAACTGAACTGAACTGAACTGAACTGAAAATAAGTAAATATGAACAGGCCCTTACTTTATAAGTTTATATAGGTATTTTGACTTTTGTTTTGTGCGCTTATTTTGCTATATTGGATGATTTATAAGAAATATACTTGTATATATTTTTTTTGTTGACGAGATAAATATGGTCTTGGATACTTGACTTTGCCACAACTTATAAAATTCATTATATCAAGCTGTTATAATTTATTAATGACTAAAATAAGCATTAGCAAGTATAAATCAAAATTGCAAATTTTTTGTTATTCTTCTCAGTAAAACAAGTCAATGCATGAGCACAAAAACGGGTACCTATTTTTCAACCCAAACTCAAATTCAATCAAACTCCATAGAAAGTCTCTAATGTGATTAGATGTTATAGTTGGGATTTTCTCTGCAACCTGATATGAGCATTTATATAGTAATTGTCACATAACTTTTGTACATGATATCATCCACGAACTGAAATAAAGCTTATCTTCAAGAATGTAGAGTGCCAAAGACACCTCAAAATTCGATAAAACAGGACAGATTTTATTAAGATAAACTCTCCTTAGCTTGTCAGCAAGGATTACATGACTAACATCTCAGTTCATTGTAAGCGAGAGAGGACTTAGCAATGAAATGTGCAGCTCTATTACATAATCTAGGACAGAACGAGAAAGTACAGAGAGGACTTAGCAATGCTAAGAGCATCTAAAGCAAGAATCTGAACAGAGGACTTCTGATTCTGTGCTCCCTAGCACATAGGTAGGCCGTAAGCAAAATAAGTCGATTCCTCTAGCACCGAATCTCAGCCAGCTGCATATTTGTAATTATGTTATATTCAATACAATCATATTTAAATTCATAATAGATACAGACATGCAGTCAATACTTAATAATATTGTCGTTGTCAACAAAAAAAATTGAAACAGGAAAGAATAAAGATTAAGAACTTACTGGATTTAAAGCCTCCTTTTAAATTTAGCAATGCTCAATAAGACCATGACATAAAGCCTATCTTTCATGTCATCAAAGAACTGAAAAAAGGCATGCCTCCAAGATCTCTTCAGCACCAATGTTCCACAAACTCCCCAAAATCCTATGATAAATCCGAGCACAACACTTACATACAACCCCAGAAAAAACATCTTGTCATCATCAGTGTCATCCTGGGGAGCAGTATTATCTCCCCCTCTCGAGTTGTGGTGTGGTTGATCCCAAGAGCAATTCGAGAGAGGAGCTCCACAAAGTTGAGGATTTCCAGCATATACTGAAGCATTGAAGCCTTGAAGTTGAGTGCCCTTCGGAATTTCTCCAGAGAAGTGGTTGTCTGACAAATCCAAGTTGCTGAGAGAACTCAAAGCAGTGATGCTTGCAGGGATTTCACCAGAGAGGTGGTTGTTTGACAAATCGAGAACTTCTAAACCTGTCAATTGTCCAATTTCCGGTGTGATGTTTCCAACCAAACTGTTTCTTGATAAGTTCAAGGAGACAAGACCTTGCAGAGCTGAGATTTTTGTGGGAATTTTGCCTTTCAACTTATTGTGTGAAAGATCAATGAGCTTTACTAGTCCTATAAACTTCCCAAAGATCCTTTCTGCATCTTTCCACATAATCGGCGCAGCATCACTGTATAAACCAACGACAACGGTACTAGAACTATGGTCAGTGATAGAGTATTGCAATGTTGGAAGCATATTTGATGTATCTTGCATTGCTTTAAGATTACAAATGCAATTTGGAATGGTTCCAGAAATTTGGTTGACAGCGAGATCCAAGATTTGAAGAAAGGGTAGTTGACAAAGGCTCAAAGGTATTTCTCCAACGAAATTATTGCTTCCAAGGCTTAGAAAACTGAGGCTTTTTTGATTAGTCCCAATGCCTGGCAATATACGTCCACTAAATGAATTATGAGCAAGATCAAGAAAAACCAGGGATGTGCAATCCTCTAATGATCTTGGAAGTTCTCCCGAAAACCTATTGTTGCGCAAGTGCAACGTCTCCAATTTCTTCAAATACCTAATGGAAGGTGGTATAACACCAGAAAAATTATTGTTTTCTAAATGGATAAAAGACAATTGGTCAAAATTCATCCAGCAATCAGGAAGTTTTCCGGACAACAAGTTATTTGAAAGATCAAGATTGTATAGACTTACTTTCACCTTAGGACACAAAAAGAGGGTGGGATCAGAAAACTTATTATTATTCAAGCTTAATGAAGTAAGGGTTGTTGGAAATGTTGGTATTGCACCTTCAATATGGTTGAAGCTCATATCTATAACAACCCCATTCAAAGACTCAAGGCTCGTTGTGATTGGTATTTCCAAATCTGAAAGCGTCCCATAAATCATATTTTGAGACATCCTCAGATAAGTGAGCTTTGAAGATAATGTAAAAGAACTCGGAATGCTGTCGGAAATTCCAGCACCAGAAATATCAAGAATCGAATAATTTTTTTGGCTCACAAGCCAATTTGGAAAGATCGGTCCCAATCTGCAGGATGTTAGTCTAATAGTATCCAACTGGAATGGAGGAGTCCAATCATCATCAATATCGAGCACCAGTGCTGAATTACCTGAAAGGTCCAAGTATTGTAATCTTGAAAGTTCTGAGAAGTGGCTGCTAGAGAGTGTACCATGCAGAGAGTTAGAAGAAAGATCCAAGCGATCGAGCATTGACAGTTGCCCCAAACGAGGACTGATGGTTCCATTCAAACGATTATTATTAAGACATAATTGTTTTAATGATGGAAATGCGCCAATCGCGTCTGGAATCAGACCCCATATGTGATTCTCACCCAGATTTAAATATGATAATGACTTGTTTGAGCATCTGGTAAGTGTTTGGATTATGTTGGGAAACTCATCGGTGATGTTGTTTTTATTCAAGTAGAGACTTTGTAAGTGACACAAATTGCCAAGTATTTTAGGCAATTGCGAGGACTGGAAATTATTTGATGAGAGGTCGAGATGTTGGAGAGACTGTAGGTTTGAAATCGTATTTGGAATCGGACCTTGCAATTTATTGTTGGAAAGGTCCAGATAAGAAAGAGCATGCATATTTCCAACTTCATTAGGAAGCGAACCTTCTAGTTGATTATTACTGAGATCAAGATATGCAAGGTGAGTATCAATTCCACTCAAATTAAAAAGCCATTGGAATATTGATGAATCATTAAGACCATTATCAGCAAGATTAAGATATGAAAGAGTGGTTGTGGAGTTTATGTATGAAAGTTGCAATGGAACTGAACTAGAGGGAAGGTTACAACTTTCCAAGTGAAGAAACCTTAAGAATGGGAGGTCGTTCACGATTTTTAGCCAATCTATGGCTCTACTGAGACTGACAGAACTCAAGTCAATATAACTTAACAATTTTAGATTTGAGAGCCACGATAAGTTTTTGACATAGAGATTCTCAATGTTGTCATAAAAATGAATGTAATAGCTAAGATCAAGAGAAATCAAGTGGGAAAGGTTTCCAATCTGGTGTGGAATTTCTCCACTGAATCCAGCGTTGGATAGGTTAAGGTACTTCAAACTCACAAGGTAACCAACAAAACTAGGGATTGGTTGGTCTTGGAAATTGTTGAGGCTCAAGTCCAAGTAACTCAAATGCTTCAAATCAACAAGGGAAGAACTCACTTTACCTTGCAAACAATGATCCTTAAAATAATAAGTGACAACCCCACGAAGGTCAAGCTTGATTACATGGCCAGTTTGGTTGTTGCAACGGATGCCACGCCATTGACAACAGTTTTTGTTATCATCATCATCATCTCCCCAAGAAGACAGCAACCCGCAATTATCGATTTGAATGCCCTCTTTGAATTTCAACAAAGCTTCTCTTTCTTTCTCAATACACATGACGTTGTTGTGGTGGCTGCTAAGGGTATCAAGCCCATGAGCAACACAAATGAAGTAGGAAAACAGCAAAAAACAAGAAAGGAGGAGTTTATGAGAACTCATTGTCACCAAACTTTGGCTAGATCAATGAATGTATATGTATCAATATAATGTATGTGCTAAACATATAAATAGAACTTTGAAGCATTAGAATTGCAATACGAAGAAATTATTGTACATTCATACCTATGCTCACAACTTGTCATGCAAGTTACAATAAATGTCAATGAAAGAAATTAATTAGTAGACTTAGAAACTTCTTGTACAAAGGAAATTTTAAAGACATCAATTATTACTTTGGATAAGTAAAGCATACGGAGAGCCAAAAAAATCCAACTCATTCACAACTTATTTTCTCCAACTTAGGCCCCATTTAGTTTGATTAGCTTTCATGGAAAAACATATTTCGAGGAAAAACACAATTGCAAATTAGTTTTTCTTTGTTTGGTTACATGCAAGAAAAGTTCAAGAAATTAAAAATCATAAATATGAGTGAAGAAAGTGAGGATGGATGAGAGGGAAGTAAAGAGAGATAAGGAGTACGTAGGGAGGAAAATATGACAATTTTCCATTCTTAAAAATCATAAATATGAGTGAAGTTTGGCATGAGTGGTTGTTTCAAAATCTCAAGTGCAAGGCTATGACAAGTTGGTTAATTCCATGGAATGTGATCTTCTGTTTTGCTATTTGGCATATCTGGTTAAGGCGAAATGCCTGGTTTTTCTCAATCAAACACCCCCATCTCAAAAATAATCCACCAGTATATTTGGGCTGCTTCGGAGTTCTACTTTTCTTCAGAATGCAACAATGAAAGTCTAAAGCCCATCCCTACTCACTGGTCTCCTCCCCCTCCAAATTTCTTGAAAATTAATTGTGATGCATCTTTCCTTAATTCCACAAAAGAATCAGGTTGTGCTGTAGTTTGCAGGGACAGCCTGGGTGCCTGGGTTGTTGGTCTAGTATGGAGAGGCTATCATGCTTCTAGTCATCATGCTGAATTAAAAGCCATTGAACTTGCGCTAAAATTGATCAAAACAAGAAATTGGCAGAACATCAATGTTTATTCGGATGCTAAAAGGGTAGTAGATGAAATCATCGCCCCTGGCTGTGAATCTAATGTTCCTTCAACATTATCAAAATGCAGGGACCATCTGCTTATTACAGAGTAATTCTCTTCCTGAAACTTGTTCAAAAGGCCAATGAGATGTTTTGATTGCGGATGAGAGTACTTGTTTATCATAAGCTTGTATTCCATTATTTCCATATATTAGTGCAACTATAATAATGATTTTTGATGTGTGTTCCCCTGTCCTTCAAAAGGCTTCTCATTTTTATTTTATTTTTTGTAGCACATGTGGTAACACATAATTCTGATTACTTAAACTTCGTATCTTTTAAAATTAATTAAGTTGAAATTTAGAAAAGCTACCCTGCAACTAATACGGAGTAATTAAATTTAGGGTAACGCTATATGCAGCCCTTAGGGCTGCATATAAGCATTTAATATACTTCCTTTTTTAGTATTAAGTTGGGAATTTATCGATAATTCACGAGTAAATCGGTGTAATAAGTGGTTATTTATTGTCTTTCCTTTCCATTTTTAGCTTCTTAGGGCTGCATATATATTTTTCCTTAAAGTTATTTAAAAATAATAATTTTTTTTGTATTAAAATTTTTATCTAATATCCGAAAAATTGAAAACATTAATTTTTTAATAACTTTCATACTTTCTCCTTGTTTTTAGTTGCTACACTTTCAATTTCACGGTCTTCTAGACAATTTTTACAAGATAAGATATAGAGAAAAAAATAAGAGGGACCTGTATGGATAGGAGAGAGATAGAGAGAAAAAAATGTAAAAAATAAAAAATAAAACAATGTTACAACTAATTAACAATTTCTAAAATAGGAAAGTGTAATAACTAAAAAAAACAAAAAATTAATAATAAAAATTATTCTTTCCAATATAGATTATTGAAAGATTAATTCATAAAGTTTTATAGAGATGACAATAATTTATAAAATTAAATTTTATTGACACATTAATAACATATTAAAGATCAAAATTACAAACATTTGCTAGTTCTACACTTCTACACAACCACGAATTAAAGTCTTATTTTGTTAAAAAAAAAAAAAAATAAATTAAAGTCTTATTTTCTAAGTTGACTTCAAGCATTTCCTTTAACAGCAAAAAATTTGACTTCAAGTCTTCTTACCGTGTTTGAATGTTTGATCATGGGGTCCCTTAAACTTTTACAAATTACAGAATTCAGATTTCACTTCTAATAAGTACTCCGTATTCAAATAATACCTCCATATAATACTCTTTATTATAAATAAATGGAGGTAGCTAGTAAATCTATTTCACCCATCGTCCATATCTATTCTTTGACATTAGCTTAATCAAATAAGACATTTCACCCGTGTCTATGCAAAACAAGAGGCCAACTATGAGGGGTTTCAAAACAAATAAATTATCGTGAATTTGAGAACTATCCCAAATCCTACAATTGAGCCAAAATCATCATTTAAGTGTGAAGGTACAACTACAAGTATTCTCTTCGTTCTCTTCTGTTTTGGACGTTTGGAATTATGCACAATTATTAATTAATTTTGTAAAATTAAGGTTGTTTCGGGTGAAAACAATGGGACCTTGCCGAAGGTCCGCTGAAATGGAGAAGGCTGGATTCGGTCCAAGTTATGTTGGGCCGAAGATTTCCTGCACAGTAAACACACGTAAACTAGCCTCGGGGGTGTTGCCGAGGAAGGCCCCTCCGATGCTAAAGTCAGTACAATGTGTAAGAAGAAGACACTATGCAAGAGAGTTTGTTGCTTGAGGCTTTTTATGGAATATATCAGAATATATGAATGAACATATGAATCTATGAATGAATCAGAAAATGAATCTCTCCCCTTGAATGTATCAATATGATGGCTTTTATACCTCATCATACATGGAGAGGTTGGGCCTTAGCCCAATCGGCTTGCTTTGTGGGCTGACCTTTGACTTTAGCACAATTGGAGAGTTGAACCTTGACCTTGGGCTTTTAATTGGATCATTTAGTGTTTAGGCCCAATTGGACTAAATTGGACCCAAACAACTTGCCCCCCAGACCCGATTTGGAAGGATGACGGGTCGGGTTTGATTTAATTCAGAAAAGGAGGGAAGTAAATGATTTAATTAATCCAAAAATTTGAATTTAAACCGTAATTAATGAGATAACAACGATTAATGATTGTGGAAGTTGGACGGATAATGGGCAGTTTAATCACAAGATCATGTGTTTAACGGTTACTTAGTGGAGTATTTAAGAGAAATTAAAACGCAGACTCCTCGTATCCCGTACCTGGAGATATAAACAGAGGCGCGTCATCTCTCCTCACTTATTCACCAACACGAACCCAGAATTCTCGAGAGAGAAACCAAGAACCCGCATCAAAACTTCGCAAATTCCCCGAGCATTAAGCTTAGAAACTGAGACTTGCCACTACGAACTCGTAAATCGGCAACTTTCGCTTCAGATTAAGGTAAATTCCTTTGATTTCAGTTTATTTTTCTTCGAATTCGAACTCCTTCCCCTTTTCTTTCGACTTTTTTCTTCGAAATAATCAATGGCAAGAGGAGTTAGAGGTAGAGCCCGTGCTCCAAGAAGAGCAAGGCCGATTCCCGATCCTAGGAACAGGATTGGGACCTGGAATGGTCAAAGGCCAGAGTCTGACCCTGCTGAAGGGATTAGGGCGACTCCCCTTTCCTCGGCTCCTCCTCAGAGAACGGAGGAGCCGAGCGCTTCTGGACGGGATGATGAAGTTCCCGCTGTCCTTTGGGATATCCTCCCCGGGTTTTCAGAATGGGAGAATGCCGAAGTTGCTTCGGCCATGATAAAGAACCGCCCCTACCCATGGTGGGTGGAGAATGCCGATCAATATCGATTTGCCGAGCAAATTGAGTTGCATTACGGCATTTTTGAAGCTGATGGGTATTGGTGCCGAATGCCCTCGGCCTCTGATAGAATCCATCGTCCACCCCCGGGGTATGTGGGGGTGTACACAAGACAGCTTCAGTACGGGCTGAGGTTCCCTTTGGACGTATTCGTCCGAGACTTGCTGATCCATTACAACATCTCTCTATGTCAGTTAACTCCCACCAGCATCCGAAGGGTGATGACATACTTATGGGTCTGCAAGTTCTTCAAGTACGTGCCGAACCTGCACTGCTTCAAAAAGCTCCATCGGCTAGTGCCAAATATTCAAAGTGGGCACGGAAGCCATGGTTCCGGGTGGTACCGGATTGAGTCCCGGCCCCAATACCTAACCATGTGGCCAAACGACTCTTCAGACAAGGACTGGAGAGGTCAATGGATTTGGGTTAGGGCACCCACAGATCCGGGCCACCCTTGCGTCTTCAGCGCTCCCCGGTACCTCGCTGAGCCTGATCCCGAAATGGGAAGTCTAGGTCCCCCCGCAGATAACGGGGCGGATCCGAATCTGGATCAGCAACATATCTTCGGCAAGCTGCCGAACCGGGGGGGCAGTGGCCGAATGCAGCATATCCCGGAGACTTGGCTCCCCGATACGCATTACGTTTTCCAAGAGAACATGCTAGCAGCTGTTGGCCTCAGCCGAAAGTTTAAGGATGGTAAGCTTCTTCGGCTGGGGCCGAGGCTTTTTAACTCTCTTTTTCTTCTCTCGCTTCGCTTTTTTATGCTGTGCCAACCTATCTGAGCTAACCTTTCCCCTTTCCTTTTTTCAGAGCGGGACGAGACCAACGTTGGCATTAACTACGCTCGTCTTGGTGTCAACCGAGAACGAGTTGTAACTGAACGGGCCCCGTCTATCACTGAGCCGAGGCATAGGGAAGTTCATCTAGACTCTTCCCACTTCCAAATTGAGGCTGTTGCTCTGTATCAGAGGCAGAAGCCTTGGTGGAAGAAGAGAGACCCTTGGTTTCAGCTGCTGGACGAAGAAGCTGAAGCTGCCCGCACAGCCGAAGAGGTTGCACGGGTTCTCGAAGCTTGCGAAGGAGGAGAAGGGTCCTCCAGAGCTGCTGAAGCCGAAGCTGCAGCTAGAGCAGCTGAAGAAGACGAGGCTTTGCTGAAGACCTCGGTGAGCTTTCAGACTTTTTCTTTTTTCTTCTTCTTCTTTTTTTTTTTTTTTTTTTTTTTTTTTTTTTTTTTTTACTCACATTCTTCCTCCCCCCTGTCTGTCACAGTCTGAAGAGAGTAACAGACACAGAGAAGGCAAAGCTCCTGTTCGTCCCGAAGACCAAATACAAGGAGAGTCTTCAGACTCAGATATGGACGAGCAGCCCCTTCTGAAAAGGCGCCGAAGGATGGCCATCATCGGCCCTCATGACTTTCAGCGGAGGCCGATGACCATCGGCGTTGCAATAAGGGAACCCGAGGAAGGCAATGGATCGCCGAGGGTTCCCCGGCCACCACCCCAATCACCTCAAAAGACCCCTCCGCCACCTCCTGAGATGGAGGTGGGTCAGAGAACTCCCGAATCTAAGGGAGGGGTCCAAGAAGAAATTAGGGAGAGTGCTGCTGAGCACGAAAACAAGGATGCCGTGATGTCCAGTGCTGAGGGCTTCACGGCAGACATCGCAAGAGAGGTTGAGGCTTTCGTCCTCACCCCTGAAGAAGAGGAGGTCATAGTAATTGACTCCTCTGAGAAGGATGATGCTGAGCCATCCAAAGCTAATCAAGCTCCATCGTCATCCTTCCCTTCTTTCCAGACTCTGTAATCTGGAGAAATGGGTTTCTCGGCCCCCCGAATTCCAATCCCAGACCACATCTGGGACCTCATATGGGGTCAGAACCGAGAAGGAGCTGCAGCCTACTTCGGCGATTTTGCTGGCATGTCCGAAGTAGATAGGGCAAGGATCTGGTCGCTGAAGGCCACTGCTGGGATGGGCGAATCCAGCAGATCAGTTCCTGACCCAGCCAGGTCTAACCAACTGCTGATGATGCAGGTAATTTTCCTTGTCTTCATTTCCTCTGAAATTCAGCTCTATATATTTTTTTTATTTTTTATTTATTTATTTTTTATTTTTTTTTTGTCTTCCTGTTTTCAGTTCGTGCACAATCAGACTCTCACTGTAGAGCTGATAGATACCCTACAAGATAGGGTAGACGCTGCTGTGCACGACAAGAAGGTGGCTGAAGAGG